TTCAGTCAAAGACTCTGTCGGTAAGTATCTGCTTAATTTAATAGTTTTGTCGTCAAAGAGTTTCTTATTCTTATTCTAACTGTTCAAATGGATGAACTTCAGGGGTTTCAATGATGCTGTTAATGGTTTTGTGGATGATGGATGGTCACCAATGGGTAGCGATGGTGCAGAGGATATTACTGTTATGATAAACTTGTCCCCTGGGAAGTTGTGTGGGTCTCAGTACGGTAATTCATTCCTTCCAAGCTTTGGTAGTGGCGTGCTTTGTGCCAAGGCATCGATGTTGCTTCAGGTACATGTCTTAAGGATTGGATAATAGAAAAACTTATCTTCTGATTCAGTCTATTTCTAGCTAACTTGCATCTCTTCCTTACATAAAGAACGTTCCACCCGCTGTGCTGGTTCGATTCCTTAGAGAACACCGCTCTGAATGGGCTGATTACGGTGTGGATGCTTATGCTGCTGCATCGCTCAGAGCAAGTCCTTTTGCTGTTCCTTGCGCTAGAGCTGGTGGGTTCCCGAGTAACCAAGTCATTCTTCCCCTTGCGCAGACAGTTGAACATGAAGAGGTACTATTTCCAAAGAACAAATGGTCCAATACAGCTTCACCTTCTCCTCTCTCTAAATACGTTTTATAGTCCTGAAACCTTTCCTGGCTTACTTGTTTCAGTCTCTTGAGGTAGTTAGACTAGAAGGTCACGCTTATTCACCCGAAGACATGGGTTTAGCTCGGGATATGTATCTGCTACAGGTTTGGCTTCATAGTTTAATCACGAAAGTTTCTCAGTTCCTCGGTTCTCTTCATGACATTTTGGATCCTTGATTCTTGTCCAGCTTTGTAGCGGTGTTGATGAAAATGTGGTTGGAGGTTGTGCACAGCTTGTCTTTGCGCCTATCGATGAATCATTTGCTGATGATGCACCTTTGCTTCCTTCTGGTTTCCGCATCATACCTCTTGAACAGAAATCAACTCCGGTAATTTGTCAAAAAGCCATTTAAGGATCAATTCCAAATCACATATTGTTGATGCAATATTCTAATCTTTCACTGTCATATAGAACGGTGCATCTACAAACCGTACCCTGGATTTAGCCTCAGCTTTAGAAGGTTCCACACGTCAAGCAGGTGAAGCCGACCCAAATGGCTGTAACTTTAGGTCGGTACTAACCATAGCATTCCAGTTCACATTTGATAACCATTCAAGAGACAGTGTAGCTTCAATGGCACGTCAGTACGTTAGAAGCATAGTAGGATCGATTCAGAGGGTTGCTCTAGCCATTGCTCCTCGTCCTGGCTCCAATATCAGTCCAATCTCTGTTCCCACTTCCCCTGAAGCTCTCACTCTGGTCCGTTGGATCGCCCGGAGTTACAGGTACTTATTAAGATTTTGTTTCTGTTTACATGATCTATAGAGTAATTATCTGAAATTCTCTTCTTTTCTTTTTGGCTTTGTAGCCTTCACACTGGTGCAGATCTCTTTGGATCTGATTCTCAAACCAGTGGTGACACATTGCTGCATCAACTCTGGAATCACACTGATGCAATCTTGTGCTGCTCCCTCAAAACAAACGCAAGTGACTAGGGCTTCACATTCGGATTTCTCATTTCTGACTAGGATTTGTTTTGCATTTGTTTAAATGACTGACATATATATTCTCATTCTCAGGCTTCACCGGTTTTCACATTCGCAAACCAAACCGGTTTAGACATGCTGGAAACGACTCTTGTAGCCCTTCAAGACATAATGCTAGACAAGACCCTTGACGAACCTGGTCGTAAAGCTCTTTGCTCTGAGTTCCCCAAGATCATGCAACAGGTTTTTGTTTTTCTTGGGATACTTTTTGATATTTTCTTGGAAAAATCATTGTTTGACTTGAAATCTTGATTTTGTTTTACAGGGCTATGCTCATCTTCCTGCGGGAGTATGTGCGTCAAGCATGGGGAGGATGGTGTCTTATGAGCAGGCAACGGTGTGGAAAGTTCTTGAAGATGATGAATCAAACCACTGCTTAGCTTTCATGTTCGTGAATTGGTCGTTCGTTTGAAGAATAAGAAGAAGACCATATCACTCCATTTTTCCCTTGGGAGGGAGGTTATTTATGTAAGATATTAAAGTTAGGTTGCCACTATGCTCCAAAGTATTTTGAAATTCGAGGACCAACATGTAATATGACTAATGTATGATCCTTTATGGATTGTTCCTATGATATGGCATGATATTATTATGATAATGTTATCAAGTCTTTTTTGTTGTGCTCGTTTGCTTTCACAAGGTTATATATTACGATTGTAGAAATTAAGCTCTTTATTGAAGTCTCATAATTTGAAGAAAAAAAAGAAGGTAGATTAAGCTTTGGATCATCTATCAGGAACATTTTAGAAGTAACGTTGAGTATATCTATATGCACATCTTATTATAGTATCCTTTCATTTTTTGGTGAATAATATTTGTCTTTAGAAATAAAAGTAAGTGGGGAAAATGATTTTTCATGTATATAATTAAAGTAAGAAAGGTAGATGAATGAGATAGGTTGTGTAATTTTGGAGTATATATATATATATATATATATATATATATATATATATATATATCATAATTATAATAAAAGAGAATTATATGTATTATTGATAAGATATTATGTTAGATTTGTGTATTATTGTTTTGTATAATGGAGGGTGGTCCAATTTGAATATAGGTTCTAGTTGTGGAAGCTGTTAATAGCACTGCAAACAAATTTAAAGATTAGATTTGCATGAATCTTCACAATAAATGAATATATCGTACACTAAAAGAAGAATTAAACGTATACTGAAATCGTATCTATCATAAGAAAAGTAAATGATGATGATGCCTCCCACTCTTTAACTTATAGGCAGAGAAACCTATAAACGTTTTTCCTCTGTAGTTGTCTATTTTAATGAAAAGTTTAAATGTTTTTGTATTCTCCTGAGAAAGTCACCGTTTTGGTAAAAGACCGTAGCAGAAAAAATGGTAAAAAGGTATTAGAGAAACGGTGGATGTGACCATTTTGGTTAAACGGCGCAATAACAACTCATAATTGAGGGAAATAAGTTTATCATCAACTTGTTGATATAAGCCTCTCCTTTATCAAAGATGAAGAAATGCATATCGAAATAAATTATATTGCTTTAATAATATATACTATTGTTGTGTGCTATAAATCTAATCATAATTTTGTTTCTTCTCATATAGATTATAGATATACGTGTATTAATCGGGAACAATACATTTTCTCTTTTGAAGGCACCACTAAGTTTCTGAAATTTGCAAAAACCACCGAAGAAGGTATATTACATATGGCAACGTCAACTTTTAAGCCTCTTCCCGCTATCACCAGAAGAAAAATTTAAGGCCAAATCAATGTCTCTTGCCTCTTGGCTTGCACATCTCATTGACACTAGTTTTGGTGTTTTATTATGAATGAGAAATAGTATGTTATTAAAATAGTTGTTTTTAGTTAGTGAATGACTTGAATAGTTGTTTATCTATACAGATTATTTAACATATATCATGTACTATTGATTTGGTGATATTGTAGAGTTAGATATAATAAAAATTTATTTTCAATCAAGTAATATACAAACAAAACAAATAAACTGTTGTAAAAAAAGGAGCATAAATCTAAGGCTTTGACTGAAAAAACATAGTTAGAGTAAACAGAATTGAATGGAATTTTGTAATGTCTTTATCCTTCATTTTTACCCTAAACTAGGATCGGACCCGGACGTACGTCCGGGGTTATGTTAACATAGAATTTTATGAATTAAAAAATTAATGTATTTAGGTTGTGTGTGTTTGTTGGGGAAACAAACTTGACATGATTACGTTAATTGTGAATATATTAGAGAGATGTTATAATTGGAAAATAATGTATGGTAAACATAGGTATCATGTGTGTAAGAATGTATGTTTGTAGTGTATGTATTAAAAGATAGTTGGAGTTTGGATGGTAAAAAAAGAAAGTAAGATGTGATAATACGTTTCGTATTGGACATATATAGCATAGGTTCAGCAGATTAAAAGATATTATAAGAAAACATAATATTCTTTCGTATACAATATTTTATATTTTTGTATACAACATTTAGGGTTTGACAATTATAACCGTTACTCGTATTCGATCCTTATGGTAATTACAAAATATTGGGGTCTTTTTATTGGAGCCTCAAGAACCCGAATAATTTTTTTTTAAGTTTGTACGCTTGATAAGTCAAGTTTCATACTCCTTCTAATCTCAAATCATTTGGTATTTATATAGATGACTCTGAGCCATTGTTAAAATTTCTTAGCAATGTGGGATATTGAAAACACACTTTTTACAATGATTGAATCTTATCTTTCCGTTTTTAAAAATACAAATCACAATATATGCAGAACGAATATATTTTTATTGACCATATGTATTGTTATAGTCAATAGTTTTTTAAGTTATAGTCAATACGTTCGTGCGGGAAAAATGTTTTATTAATGTATTTTTATATAGTTTCGATTAAGTATAAACATATATTTTTGTTGTGATAGTGAATTATATAATAGCATATATATCATAAACTTAGCATAATAATTGTAAAATTATGTTTAGGTTTTAAAGATAAGTTGGTGCGTAAGTTTTTATTTTATGTTTGATTAGTTTTAAATTTAGAATTGAAAGTTGAGTTTTAAAAATTATTTAGTGTTAGATTTACATAAAAATTTATGTGTTTAATTTTAATATATAGTTTGGTGCATACCTAAAATTTGAACAGTTGGAGAAGGTATGCGTGTAAGAGTTATAATAGAAATGTTAAAATTTGGAAGAATATGATATTCTAAAATTTGTAAATTAAATATTTGATAATGCAATATATTTATTTATAAATTATGATTTGGTACTTCAAAAAACATTTTCAACCGAAAATGTAAATTACTGACCCAATAGTGAATACAAAAAAAACTTGTTTCTGTCCTACCAAAAAAAAAAAAAAACTTGTTTCTGGGCCGAGTATAATGGTAATGTTGACCCAATTATAAAGGCTCGTTTAACCCATTTAATATTTTCGTATACATATATTAATATTTAGTCTATCAATGAATTTTAATTTATTTATTTGGACATGCATTTTATTTTTTAGAGCAATCGTGTCTTATCTAAACAAAAACTCACCGAACAAAAAGGGGAAAATGGTTTGATCGAAGAATCAATTCCGAAATTCTCATATAATTCAGCTATATCGTCTCCGTTTATACTCTGTGTTTTGCAAATTGTGAATTCTTTAAAGAGGTAAGTTTATTATTGAATCAGATTTATACCTTTTCTGGTTTTTAATATGTCGATTCAATTATGTGATTTTCTTAAAAAGTTTGAATAGAGATCTTCGCCAAGGACTGTCAAGAAGCTAGATCTTCGATGGGTAATAGTGTCAATCAAATATATATAGGGAAAAATGTCATTAAAATCCCCAATTTATTCAAAACGTTGATTTAAATCCTCAACTCATGACGAAACGAAATAAATATCAAACTTATGTTGACTTTCCAAATAAATATTAAACTTATGTTGACTTTCCAAATAAACACCAAACTTTCATTGACTTTCCAAATAAATATCAAACTTCCGTTGATCTGACCATATTAGGTACGACGTT